AATAAAAACTTTTATGCCTGGCGTTTTGGCTTTGACAAAATCAGTTGCTCCTGACAACGACAGGTTCATGTTCAGATCCGATCAAAAACATATAAAAATGAATCTGTTTTGATTTAATCAACGTTTTTCTACTAAAAAAACAATGAAAATGGTATGTTATTTTTATATTTTTGTATTTTTGCTTGTCGTTTCACGATAATATGCTTGAAAAAAGTGTTTTTAAACACAAATTTTTACTTTGTTTACAATATTTATATCAGTGAAAAATGCATGACACAAATGGGCAGAGAATATATTCGTGACTTGTTTTCACTGCTGCAGTTAAACCTTCTTTTACATAGAAAGACATTTATTTTACAATATCTGTTTCGGCTGTAATTTTTTCGCTTTTAAGTGGCCGAATACATGAGCATTTAAAAAATATATAATTTTCTCGACGTATTAAAGTTTTATAAATGCCAAATAACTTTCCGACTTTCAGTCGTATTTCTATCAAAATATTGTCAATTCTGGTGAACATTGTGCTTAGTATAACGTCTTTAGGGCTTGATGCAATTCATTTTCGTATTCTGACTATCGTTAACGTTAGGCCACAGAATAGGAAGTTATACCAGAAGCGTAACTCTAGTCGTTTCCCTTATTGTTTGACGTCCACGAAAATTTTTAACTCGCTCACGTCAGGCCACGCCATCCTGGCTAGTACAGCCGGAAGTTTTCATCAGGATTTGGTAGGTACAAAGTGCCGGTTGTACTAGCCAGGATGGCGTGATTGATGACGAATCGCTTGTAAAAACGCGGACAAATATTTGCTTGAGTTACGCTTCTGGTATAACTTCCTATTCTGTGGTTAGGCTATGTCATCAAAGATTAGATACTATAAAGATGTGTCACTCGACGTATTTCCCTAATGTTTGCGTGTCCGTAATTTTCACTTACTGCCAAAATGGCGGCGAGACTGATGGCACAGAATACTACACAGAAGCACAGAATACTACACAGAAGTCCATCTCCATTGTTTTTAGCGTAAGCTCTATTCGTCATGATTCGTCACTCAGCAAGTACCGTAAACAGAAGCATTCACCCCCCTGGACGTGCGCCATTTTTAGTATTTCCAGGGGGGTGACTGCTTCTGTTTACGGTACTTGCTGAGTGACGAATCATGACGAATAGAACTTACGCTAAAAACAATGGAGATGGACTTCTGTGTAGTATTCTGTGACAGAAGGCCATCTCCATTGTTTTTAGCGTAAGCGCTATTCGTCATGATTCGTCACTCAGCAAGTACCGTAAACAGAAGCAGTCCCCCCCTGGAAATACTCAAAATGGCGAACGTCCAGGGGGGTGACTGCTTCTGTTTACGGTACTTGCTGAGTGACGAATCATGACGAATAACGCTTACGCAAAAAACAATGGAGATGGACTTCTGTGTAGTATTCTGTGCTGATGGCGTTGAATTTTACTATTTAAGAGACTGATGGCGTTGAATTTGACACTTACTGACAAAATGGCTATAAAAAAATCTCGGACATAATTTTCGCAGAGTGACACATCTTTATAGTATCTAATCTTTAATGTCATTTTCAAACGTTTTTGGCAGATTTTTTCGTTTAAAACAGTGTGACCAGACTTTTTCAGCAGTCATTACCAAAATTTTGTTCAAATTTTACTAAATTAAGAAACATTTTACCAAATGTCGGCTTCCCAAATAATTACGTCATGATAATGCCAAAAAACAATAGTTGCGTCATCAAAGTAGAAAAAATATTGATAAAAAGTGTCTCGAAATACTTGTTGCTTTCATCGTATTGCAGTTTTTGCTAATGATAAGGCTTTATTTCTTAGGCTTGGCAGTTCTGTTCATCACTTTGAGCACGTTATTAAACAAAAAACACACATTTTTACCAACTATTTTTAATAATTCAAACCTTTCA